TGTTTCTTGGGTCTACTTAGATTTTTAACACTTTTTTTGTATGTATGTTATACTTCAACAAAAAGTTTACTTAAACAAAAGACCTTTATGGGTATTAAAATTAAGTTTGGAGAACTCTTATCATTTAACCTTTCAGCCTATTTGTCAGGGACAAATGTTATATACTCTTGTACTATCTGACTCTGCAGGTTAATTATCAATACCTAATAAGATATTTTTTCCACTGTACTCTATTTTATAGGGCTTGGCTACCTCTGTAAACTTTATAACCAAATGACATATTTTGTAATTGGTTTCTTGTCTGCTGTATAGAGCAAATTATATAAGTCAAGGGGGTGTGGCTCCAGCACCTGGGTTCTTACCCCCTCACTCCCTCAACACACACACTCTGTGCTGTCCCTCTCTGTGTTTATGCCATCCCATACCCATTTTCTGATCACTTTCTATATCTGTAAAAGACTTTGCCACCTGGTTTTTGGTATTTCTCTTCTCTCCAAGATCATTACTATCTTATCAATTTCAGTGTTTACATTGATGGTTGACCCCTCTCCCTAGCTTCTGACCTTGATCTTCTCAACTTTACCTCTAGGGTAGGCAGAATTCTAAAGATCCTCTTCTTGCCCAGCTCTTAAGATTCCAGTTCTTCCCCTGGCTATTTCATCAAACACTAATCTAGGTACTGAGCTGAGGGATTTCATAGTTGTAACTAAAGCCCCATGTCAGTTGACTTGAAAATAGTGAGACTGTAACCACATTAGCCCTTTAAAAGGCAGAAGAGAAAGTCAGAGAGATTAGAACTTTGAGAAGGACTTGACCAGCTTTGAAGATGAAAGGGGTCACATGGGAAGATGTGCAGACAACCTGAAGAAGCTGATTGAGGCGAGCCCCCTCGACATCCCGCTGCCCCTCCCCCTGCCAGTCGACAGCAAGGGCACAGGGACTTCGGTCCTAAGTCCAAAAGGAACTGGATTCTGTGAACAACCTGAGTGTGCTTGGGAGTAGATTCTTCAGATAAGAGCCTCCAGCTAAGAGTCCAGCTGGCTGACGCTTTGATTTGGCCTTATAATACCCTCAGGATCCTAACCTCACCTAGATTCTTGACCTCCAGAACTGGGAGATAATAAACGGGTGTTGTTTTACGGTACTCTCTTGATGGTAATTTATTCCTCAGCAATAGAAAACAAATGCACCTCCCTCCCATCTTCATAACCACACTCTTGTGTTCAAACCGTGGGACCTTGTCAAAACCGGGAATGTCAATATTAAATGCCAGTATCCTACTCAGTACCCTCATCTGCCTGTTTCTATTCTTTCAGTCTCTAAGTGATCCTTCCATAGGAGGGGTCTTCAAAAAACTCATGGAAAGATTCACAATACCTTTTAATCCCATTTTTCCGGAGCTTTTTTTTTTTTTTTAAAGATGACCGGTAAGGGGATCTTAACCCTTGACTTCGTGTTATCAGCACCACGCTCTCCCAAGTGAGCCACGGGCTGACCCTTAAAAGCTTTTAAACTGACAGAAATTAACCCAAAAGAATAATTTTACCTAAATGTTTGGGCGCATTATGAATATAAGCCCTTTAAACGTACACAGGATAGTATTTTTGGTCTTTTTTTTTTCAGTATACTATTTTTTTTTTTTTTTTTTAAAAATGACCGGGAAGAGGATCTCAACCC